TTCTTTTGTAGGTTATAAATGTGTTGAAAAAAGTTATCCAAAATAAAGCAAAGGATGGTTGTGCATTCATTCAACACTATCCCAGAGCACCAGCAGTCTCCCTTCAGGATTATTTAATCATTTAAGGGCTGTCCCTTTGTTTGACATGCTGTATACTATTGGTTATGTCCCAATCTCTGAAGTTACAAATTAACTTGTAGATTTTTATGCGAAAGAACTGCAAATGATTTCTGTTGGATAGAAAATATAACCCTAAAACGTATGATTGCACTGCCCTCTAGGATATTTACCAATGATATATTTAACCTAGCAATTTGATTTCAACATTATTTTTTTAAATCTAAACATACAGTTTATCACCCTTTTTGTAACAACTTGTACCATCCTGCTGATTCTATCATCAATGAACTATCTATATTTTGGACACAAATTCTATATTGGCATGAGTCATTTTTAATTTTTTTTGAAAATAATTCTTTGACAGGTGTAAAGTCTAGTAAAAGAATAACATAAAATAAAAAAATGGTTTTAAAGGAAAGCTAAATATTGTATTATTTTTGTCCATCACAGTCTGGGTCTTCTGAAAAAACATGTAAAATGTCTTTTAATTTCCTATCCCCTGCACCAACCTCCATCCTCTCTGCCCCCATCTTCCCTATTCTCCATGTGTTTTCTCTGAGAGGTAATTGAATGTACTCTGAACTTTGAGTCAGAGAGGTTTGACCTGGCCACTGACCAGATGTGTAATCTTAGGAAAGTCATCCAACAGCTTTTGGCCTTAACTTCCTCTATTTCAAAAAGGATAATATGACCTAACTCATAACATGTACAACACAAATGTAGATCGATTAAAGATGTGAACATCAACAATAAAACTAGAAGTACTCTAATGAAATAATTGAAATAACTTCCTAAGCACAATATAAAATGTAGAAGAATAAGGAAAACTGTTGGTTCATTTGACTACCCTGTTATGAATGACTTTTTAAAAAATATATTTTTAATTGATTTCAGAGAGGAAGGGAGAGGGAGAGAGAGAGATAGAAGCATCAATGATGAGAATCATTGATCTGCTGCCTCCGGCACACTCCACACTGGGGATCAAGCCCACAACCCAGGCATGTGCCCTTAATGGGGAATCCAACCCTGACCTCTTGGTTCATAGGTCAATGATGAAAAAGAGGAGGAAGGGAAAGATTCTTTTAGCAATCTAAAGAGAAAGACCAAGTAAATATTAAAGTGTAGAGTGGCACCTCGATTGAGGTAGTGCTTAAGAATTTCCATGCAAGTCAGGAAGCAGAAACCCAGATGCCTAATGTAATTATCAGGACAGGATTCCTTACCTATGTATCAGAGGTGATGACTTAGTTACAACTTCTTTTCTTAAAACACACTTTAAAAGACAGAATATTGCAACCCTGCATATTTTCTTTTCATTTATCAAGATTATATTTCATTGTCTCTGTAACTGCATTCAATTTTTGTTCATAAAACATATGAATCATATAGATGAAACAAAATACAAGTTGTCAGTTCAGAGTCAGTTTTCCATGGATCTGTCTTGATTCTTGCCAGCATTCTTAGCTCTACTCTAGTCACTCCTTCTTTTTTAAAAAGTTTAAATTCTTTATTGTTTAAAATATTACATCAGTCTCCTTTTTCCCCCATTGACCTCTTCCTGGCCGCTCCCACCCCCCAGCACATGCCCTCACCCTCCTACTGTCTGTGTCCATTGGTTATGCTCATATGCATGCATACAAGTCCTTTGGTTGATCTCTCCCCCTCCTCTCCCCTGCCTTCCCTCTTAGGTTGGACGGTCTGTCTCTGGATCTATTTTTGTTCATTAGTTTATTTTGTTCATTATATTCCACAAATGAGTGAGAACATATGATATTTATCTTTCTCTGACTGGTTTATTTTGCTTAGCATAATGCACTCCAGGTACATCCACACTGTTACAAATGGTGAGAGTTCTTTTTTTACAGCAGTGTAATATTCCATTGTGTAAATGTACCACAGTTCTTTCATCCACTCATCTACTTATGGGCACTTAGGCTGTTTCCAAATCTTAGTTATTGTAAATTGTGCCACTATGTACATAGAGGTGCATATATTCTTTATGATTGGTGTTTCTGATTTCTTGGGATATATCCCTAGAAGTTGGATCACTGGGTCAAATGGGAGTTCCATTTTTAATTTGCTGAGGAAACTCCATACTGTTCTCCACAGTGGCTGCCCCAGTCTGTATTCCCACCAGCAGTGCACAAGGGTTCCTTTTTTCTCCATATCCTCACCAGCACTTGTCATTTGTTGATGATAGCCATTCTGACAGGTGTGAGATGGTACCTCATTGTCGTTTTGATTTGCATCTCTCAGATGATTAGTGAGGCTGCTGGGAGGGGGGTGGCTCTTCAGAAAAAAATGGCCGCTTAGTTCTGGGACGGTCAGGAATGTCTCAGTGCTGGACTCCTGGTCATCTCTCCCCGACCGGCTCTCCTCCACAGCCTCTCCCCAGACTCCACAAATCTGCACCTCCACCTGCACTGCAGCCATGAGTGAGTGTGTTATTTGAAAGGTCCTATGAACTGGGTTTAGTGAATAAAAGGGAAGACAAAACAGAGGCATAACAACTGCGTGACTTCTAGTTTCTCCTCCTCCCCCACCCGCCGCCCATCACCGCATGCTCAGGAAGCTCTTCAGGATGCCTTTCTGGGCTCAGCCTCTCATGGCTGTGGACTTAGATTTAGAATCCCCTGCCGCCAGCAGCCCTGTGGATTTCCTTTCCACAGTCGAATATTATGCCTGTCCCTAATGGACAAGGACTTGGTGCCATGCAGCTTCCTTCTGACCCACTTGGCTCAGTGGTCTCACAACTCTCTCCAGCCCAGATCCCAGACCTGGCTGCAAATGGTCTCACCAGCTGTGTCTACTTTGCCAATTCTAGGTCGATGTTCTTCGATTTAGATGCTCCTTCTATCTGCTCCAGGATAAGGCTCAGGACATGTCTGCCTAATTGGCCACCATTTTCCCATCCCTTTCCATTGATTTTTTTCTAGTCACTCCCTCTTACAATCACAGACTATAAATGGCTTAAGTTTTTCATTTCTAAGTAGTGACAGCTCTCAGCACACAAATATCCCCTTTCCTAGTGCCTATGGCTCTCCTAGAAAAGTAATTTACATTTATGGTCTCTATTTTCTTACTTCCTCAGCACACTAAAATTTAAGCCCTGCTTCCATGACCATGACCTGGGGTTGCCATATATATTGAATGACTAATAGGTATTAGTGACTTCCTGTTTTGGGTGTTTGTTTTTTCTTTTTCCCCAAAGGGAACAATCTTACTATAAGTTTCTAATGATGCATTTGACCTTCTGAATCTCCTACTTCTGTGAAAGCCTCTCATGTCCTGACTTCCCTAAGGGTAATTCTCCTCTGACTCACTGAATATCTATAAATGCCTTTTTGATTTGTATTGCTGGATTAAGTTCCTCTGTCTTATAAATACCCCCTTTGTGTTGATCTAGGCCTCCTTCCCCTTTCACTTTGCAACTTCTCCCCAAATGACCTTATACATTTGTGTGGTTTTAACCACATGTGGAATTATTTCTAAAGTTATGCTTCCTACTTGTATATTTCTAATATTAATGATCTCCTGAACTTCAAATTGTATGTATGTCCAAATGCCCAGTATACAAACATATTTTAACGTTCCACATATATTTTAGGCTGTATCTATCTAGAAAATAAATTCACCATCTTTACACCCTCTCTTTGACTTCCTCCTGCATTTCTGTTTCATTGTGTGTCCCCACCAATTCATTCAGTCACCGAATTCACAAACATGAAATCATCCTCACCTCCTTTTCTTCTTATCCCAGAAATACAATATTTAGTTGTGCATCTTGTGCTCTCAAAAAGGAGACCCAGACTCTGGGATAGATCAGAGTTGGCAAACATTTTTTTCTAAGAAGCCAAGTAGTAAATACTTTAAGCTTTGATATCAAATAGTTTCTGTTGCAACTACCAATTCTGCTGCTGTAATAGAAAGTAGCTATAGACAATTTGTAAACAAATGAGTATGGTTGTGTGCCAATAAAAGTTTAATTACAGCAATAAGTATAGTTTACCACTTCCAGGAATTGAGAGTCAGGGTTGCTGAAATCCAGTCTATGTTCTACTTAGCTAAATCATGGGCCCAGAGTGGGCATATAAAGGGTGCCATGGGGCTAGGAATCATCTTGCTTTTAGCATCTACACCTCAAAATTTAATCATCACATCATTTCATTTTTATGAAGTATCTTTTATTAAAATATCTTTTGAATACATGTCTTCTCCTTTCCAAATTCATTTCCATCACCTAAGTTAGTCCTTGGACAGTAGTTCAAAGACTTTCTAACCTTAATGCATATCTTAAAATCCTACAGACAAAACAAACTTTCTAAAATTCAAAATTAAAAAAAATGAAAATTCTTATGTAATCTATAAAAAGCACATTTGATCTGATTTTGTAGTCTCATCTTCCATATCATTTCTCTTGATCTTTATATGCTAGTAACACTGAATTATTTATAGTCCCCAAAACACTGTTACCTCTGTTTATCCACAATCCCTTCTTTACTGCCTTCCCATCTTCAAATTTCCACCTAGAAAAGTCACTTTCAAATTCTACAACTGGCCCCAACTGTCCTATTTCTGCATATATTTCCCTTTAATTGCCCACAACAGCTGATAGAACTAAGCACATTTTCCTCTTTGCAAGTTCTTAAGCTTATACACACATTGGTAATTAAGTATATTATTTTTAGATATATCTGATTACATTTTTTTCTGTTAGTAGATCATATGTTCCTTAAGCACAAGGATTATATATTAGTTATCTGTGTGTCTGCAGTGCTTAGCACAGGGCCCAGGTTATAGTGAGATCTGACGACAGCTACTCCCAGAAGCTGCTTCTCAGAGAGCTCTAAAATACTGACATGATTCTATTTTGAATGCAGAAAGAACTTCCAGATCATTACAGGCCTTGGATGGAAACTGCCAACAAACTTCCTGAGTTGATTGAGAGTCACCAGCTTCGAGCTCAAGTGAGCGAGGTATATATAAGTAGTTATTTTACTTTTCAACCCCTTCTCACCACCCTATTAAAATCCTCATGCCACTTTTTCTTCTCAGCATTGTGGAACTAGGTGAGTTCACTTAAGGACACCAATCATTGCCATTGAGTTTATTGACCCAATGTTTTCACCCTTGCTGAAGAGCTGAGTGATTTGTTTCTGTTTTGACACATGTGTTTCCCTAAAATTTCCAGAACCTGCATAAAATAATTCCTGGAACATATTAAAAAAATAAGTCCAGCTTGTGTAGCTCAGCAGTTGAGCATCGACCTATGAACCAGAAGGTTGTAATTCGATTCCCAGTCAGGGCATATGCCTGGGGTTCCAGGCTGTATTCCCAGTAAGGGGCATGCAGGAGACAGCCTCTCAATAATTCTCTCTCATCATTGATGTTTCCAGCTCTCCTTCTCCCACTCCCTTTCTCTCTGAAATCAATAAAAAATATTTTTTAAATGAAGACAATCTGGTTGGGATCTGTAGGCAAGTTGCTGGGTAAGATTTAGCTGGGAAACGACCAGCATAGAAATGCTCACCTTATGTTATGTGGTCAGTGCTCCCCTGCCTCTGAGTGAGTCTGCCTTGAATGTACCAGAGGGGCCTCACAGAATAGTTGAGTCAAGAGAATTTCTGAGTTATAAGGTCAGTGTTGTCAGATTCTGGAGGGATGATTGATAAATCTGTACATACATATGGAATAAAATGAGAAATATTTGCCAAAAGTATATAAGGAATAAACAGTGAAAGAATGACAAAAAGGTGTAATAGGAAGAACATAGATTTTGATTCTGGAACACCTCAGTGTGAATCCTGGTTTTTATCAGTTAGTTGCTACATAACTTTGAACAAGTGACTTAATCCCTGTGCTTCTGCTTCCTTATTTATAAAACGGGAAAACATGCTGGTCTGATTGAATTGTTGTGAAGACTAAATTATTTTTGGAATAGCTTTTCGGATTTCCTGTCACACAACAGTGTTCAATATATATTTGTATTTCCCACGAGTCCCTTTGCATCTGTCTTAGTCTCACAATTCAAAGTGCCATGTCATTTCAAAGAAACAAGAAATGTTTTCTACTCTCCAAAATTCTCCTTCACTGACTATTACATACTTAATGTCCATAATTAAAAATTCATTTAAAAAGACTCATTGAATGTCTGCTAAGGGCAAATCACAAGATTAGAGACATTGTAAAGAAATGTGAGACACTGTCTCTGGTGCCTGTAAAAATGGCAAACCAAACCAAAGAATTTATTTTCCTGCCACATAAAGGGCCCATTAACATGACCAAAAGAATACAAAAAGAAGAAAAAGGTAAGAAAATATCTGTAGTGCAGGAAAACAAGATAAAATTAAGATAAAATTTTAAGAATGTACATACCATATTAAACAAATCATAGTGATCTACAAATGAGCGTATAGTACCCATGCCAAGCATTCAACCAAAGCAATAAGAAGACCCCCTCCCACCCTCACCTCTGGGCGCCTCTCTCTCCCATCTCAGTACCAGGGCACAAAATCAAGAGGGAGTCCAGGACAGTCTGCAGGAAGAAAAATTCAAGTTCAGCTTGTGAACTGCACAGTCCTTTGTACCAGGCTTTCCTCAGGCTTTTAATTGATTAAACTGCCATAAGTAAAATGAAGGACTTACTCAATTGGTGCTCCTTATATATTAAATGTCAATGAGAAAAGGCCAGGAGTGTCCTGCTAACCTTTGTCCATTGAAAACGTGGGAATTGGGGAAACAGCTTCAGCACAAAAGTGAAATTAATCCCCTGACACTTCCACTGCGCTGAATAGAGTCTCTTCAAAAATCACATTTCCTCAAAATCTGTGAATGTGAGCTTATTTGGACATAAGGTCTTTACAGATGTAGACAAGATCATATTGCATTAGGGTGCACGCTAAATCCACTAAGACTGGTATTGTTAGAAGAAGAAGGAAATTTGAACACAGACACACAGGGAAGAACACCACATGAAGACAGAAGCATAGATTGGAGTTGGCATCTACAAGACACACTGAGTTGCTGACAATCACCAGAGACTAGGAGATAAACAATGGAGCAGGTCCTCCCCCCCCCCCCCCCCGCCTCCAAGCCTCCAGAGGAACCAACCTTACAAACACCTAAATTTCAGATTCCTAATTGTGGGAGAATCAATTTTTGCTGTTTTAGCTTCCCAATTTGTGTGCATTTGTTAAGGCAGCCGTTGGAGACACTCTTGGCTGTCTCTATACTTCTAATTACTCACAAAACATCTAATTAGATAAGACCACTTTTAAGAGACTAAGTAATTTGGAAATCAGTCATGAGAAGCAAATGTAATGGCTTCCGGGACCACACATGAAGCTACATACTCAAATATTTGTCCTCTTGTGTCCTTTACTTGGCACAGACAACATAATAAGTGAATTTCCTGTTTGGATCTCACAGTACTTTAAGGCCAACTACTTATTCTTAGAAATCTGTGTCTAATAATAATAATCTGTACTAATAAAAGCTTCGGTGGTCCTCACATATGACGTCATCACAAGATGGCCGCCACAAGATGGCCTCACGCACAGCAGAGGTGAGGTCAGGTGGCTGCTCTGCCCAGTGAGGCCTGGGGGTCCTGTGGCTCCACATGGCATGGAAGAGGCCAGTCCCAGAGGAGGAGGCGGGCCGCAGCAGGGGAGGGCAGTTGGGGGCCATCGGGCCATCAGGGGAGGGCAGTTGGGGGCAATCAGGCTGGCAGGAGAGGGCAGTTGGGGGTGATTGGGCTGTCAAGGGAGGGCAGTTGGGGGCAATCAGGCTGGCAGGAGAGGGCAGTTGGGGGCGATTGGGCTGTCAGGGAAGGGCAGTTGGGGGCGATCAGGCCGGCAGGGGAGCAGTTAGGCATCAATCAGGCTGGCAGGGGAGCGGTTGGGCGCAATCAGGCAGGCAGGTAGGCAAGTGGTTAGGAGCCAGCAGTCCCAGATTGTGAGAGGGATGTCCGACTGCCAGTTTAGGCCCGGTCCCACAGGGTTCGAGCCTAAACCAGCAGTTGGACATCCCCTCAGGGTCCCAGATTGGAGAGGGTGCAGGCTGGGCTGAGGACACCCTCCCCCCCCCCCTGCCACAAATTTTGTGCACTGGGCCACTAGTAATAATAATAATGATGATAATAATCTTCTTTC